TCGTATGCTCCACCTTCTTTTCCGTTTCTGCCAGTTGGAGCTGCTGGGATGCGAAGTTTTGATTCAAGGAAGTCAGTTGCTGGTTAATACCATCGAGTTGCTCCATCACCGGCTTGAGCATATCCACTAACATTTTCATGACGTCTGCTCCCTCTTCCGGTTTTGGACTCTGACTACCTGCCGGTTTCGTTTTAAACTTTCTTTGCAAGGCTGCCATTTTATACGATGTTTTACAATTTCAAACCTTTTGCGAACTCGAAAAATCGTCGCCTCAATGTCAGCGCTCAAGTAAGTCCCTCAAAACAAGATTGCTGCTTGTTTCCCCCCCTGCCCCTTCGTTTTGCTTATCTGTCCATTCGCATAAGAGGCATCCCTCTTTGTGCTCCACTTTTCCCACCGGGGGGGTAGTTTGCTTTTAAATTATTCTGCTTATTTTGAACTCACATTCATTGTCGGTTATTTCTTTGACTTTGCTCGCAGTAATCGATATTTCACTCAATCTCCAGTGCTTGTCCCAGTCGAATCAGCTTGTGCCCGAGGCCCACACAGTGGCAGGACCATCAGGGCAGAGGGAAGCCTCAATTCTCTGGCATTGAGTCGTCGAAGAGGCTGCCCCTCAAAATCCCTCTGGCCTGGAGCCTATCGCAAAGGCTCCATGTGAGTGCTACTTGAGGTAGCACCCCTCCATACCGCTGGTGTGCGGGTTGCTCCCCCGAGGTCCAGGGAGAACGACTGCCATCGCTGATCCACAGACCAGAAGTCTAAATCCAGTTACTTCAATAGACTTAGAAGGGTGTAACTCTTTGTAGGATGGCACTGTAACATTCTCAAAAACAAAAACGAACAGTAAAGTATACTTATTATCTATAAATCAGTCTTAATTTTCAATTATTTTTAAATTAAATACGGTGTTTGGGGTGCTTTTAAAGCACATGTTCTTTTATCAGTTTCTGGCTGCACTTATATTAGTCCTTCTGGGAGGAATGAAGGATTTCTTTTAAAGACTCTGCTGCTTCCTAAACTATAGTATACATAGTAACTGAACTCTTTGAACAGCCTTTCCCCATCATTAGGCAAGAACTGTGTACATGAATATTCTGCAGTACAGAAGAAATAGGAGCAACATTAATTGGCATGGAAGCTCTCCACATACACATGGAAGTCACTGGACTGAGGTGAGAACCGCTCCAGTTAATGAGCCTCATAGAACAAAAACAATGACTATTGTGGACAGAAATGTCTTTTCTCCCATGTATCTAGTATTTATCACACCCATTTTGTATTTACATTCTCTTAGCAAGAAGAGGGGAAAGGAGGAGACCAGGAAAGTAAAAGCGATTCTCCTCCATCTCTTGCTCTACAGGCCGCTGCTGAGCCCAGCTCTTATGCAAGTGCAATAGGAAGCTGCGCACACAGTGCCCTTGATTGTGCATCGCAAAAGAAGTATAAAGGCATGCCAACAGTTTAAACTAATATGTGTACAAACTGGGTTGAATCCAATCAGTTTTTCTGCTGGTGAGAAGGAAAGGAAGAGCCCCCTTTGTCTACCCAGAAAGGCTATGCTGAGAGTCCGGGGCCTTGCATGCACAAAAGCCATGTGGGAAAGATGCTGTAGAAAGGAGAAGAACTGACAAGACAGAATGGAAAAAACAAGCTGGAGCCAACACATTTTATCTGCAACAAGCCAAAAGTAACAGAATAAAGTTTGAACCCAGTGGTGCCATTAAGACCAACAAAGTTTAATTCTGTGTATAAGCATTTGTGTGCATGCACCCTTCTTCAGATACAGCCAAAAGCAAGTTTTGGAAACAAAATGTTACAAGCTATCACTAAAAGTTCTAACATGACCATTAAAAAATTCTCATCATCAAAAATACAAGAATCAAACAAAAACAATTTGTTTCACCTTACCAAGTTGCCATTTTCTTGAGCACATTGTCTCCATCATCCAGATAGGTAATGCTGGTTCCAGCATAGCAATAGCCATATTTGAAAAACATATTGATCCTTGAAGAGAGATGGAAAATAGATTGCTGGAATTATTTCACTTAACTTCTAATCAACAGATGGAAAGGACAGCATTGACAGAAATAATATGTGCTTCAAAGACTTGCTTGTCAAATATATATCGATTATTTTTAAGACTAGGGGAGAAGGAAAATCATTTAATCCATTTATTCCAGTTGTCCTTGCTGCCAGTATGCCTGATGTTCAAAAACTGTGTGGACTGCTTTACAGCTGTTTCTGTGTGACAGTTTCTGGGCCCAATCCAAGGGGCTGGTGTTGTCCTTTAAAGCTTTATACCATCTTCAGTATGGTTGCCAGGTCTGGGTTGGAAAAAACCTGGAGACTTTGAGGGTGGATCCAGGAAAGGGCGGAGTTTGAGGACGGAAGGGGGCTCAGCAGGGTACAATGCCATAGAGTCCACCCTCCAAAGCAGCCATTTTCTCCAGGGGAGCTGATCTGCATCAGGTGGGGATCAGTTGTTAAAGCAGGAGGTCCCCAGCCCCCCCCCCTGGAGGCTGGCAACCCTAATCTGCAGCCAGCATACTTTAAGGACCAGCCCCTCCCATATGAACCTATCCAAATACTACAGTCATTTTCTGAGGCCATGCTTTGGATACCCCTACATTCGGAGATTGAGTAGCAACCTGAAAGAAGGACTTTTCCGTCATGGCACCAAGATTGTGGAAACCCCCCTCCCAAAAAAAAAATTAGTCTGTTCCCTTCTATCACTGCCTTCCACCAGCAGGTGAAGCCTTTTTTGTTTCATCTGGCATTCCCTCAATAATCCCTCCTCCTTTACATTACGTTTTTAATTGATATCTAGGTTTTCATTTGATGTCTGTTTTTATGCGTGTGTGTATTTTACTTCTGGTTTTTAATTTCTTTTATGATATGTTTTTATACATCTCTGCTTTTAGTTGTTAGCTGCCTTGATTGGGCTGAAATGCAGGATATAAAGCTTCCACGTTAATAAATAAATATGGTCATATACATCAAAAGCATATTTATTTGCGTATACACCATGGGAATCTTGTGTGATGGTTTGCGCACTGCCTATATGTGGGTTCCTAGTAGGGAATTAATTTTTTGTAGGAATTTTGTTCTATTTGGAGAAGCCCCAAGTCTGTAACTGCTGCTATAGTTAGCCTTATAACATACTTAATGCTGAATGTACTTTTAAAGTGTTTTTCTATCTATGCAACATAACAGAACCAGGGCCATTTACAGCTCAAGGATCATTTTATCTTTAAAAATCAAATATAATCTGCCTGAATTCCAAGTCAAAACATTTGCCCTGGAAAAACTGTCTCGTCTTCATACAGTTCAGCAGAAAATGAGCACTGCTGTCATTCTTTGTCCAAACATGCCAAGACATATTAGAATCTGTATCTAGAATCCCTAGAACAATCTTTTAGCCTTGCTAACACTATGGTCCTTGGGGCAAATACCAGGGGCAAAACATCCTACAAAGAAGGATAAAATGTTATGTCCAATGAAAACTTTCCACTATGGCCTGTACATAAAGTACTCATATGTCTATAAGAACAATGAACTAGATAATACTGCCCTGTCCAAAGCTACTTTATATCTAAACCTGACAACCTTTTGCAAGAATAAACCTTGAAGAATACAAAAAAAAAGCCTGCAAAAGAAATGCTGTTCTAAATTAGCTGTAGTTATGGGGATACAACCTGCAAGTTTACATTTAATTTGATTAACCAAAAAGAATAATAACATCAACAGAAAGCAATGTTTGACATCACCAAGTGCTTGATGCCAACCAAAATTCACTCAGTTACACGGCTTCATTATATGGTTTTAATGCACAAAAAGTTGCAATAGCCACAAAGAAGGCAGGTCAATTCCACATATGATAGGCTTTTAATTTGTTACTTTGTTACTAATTTCTATAGTAGACTAACTCATGTCAATGAAATCTACAATTTTAAAGGGATAAAAGACACTGTATAAACACGTGATGCAAATCAGAACTAGTGAAGTCCTTTTGCAGATGGCACACTTCAGTTGGATTGAAATCTTTTTATGAATTAAAGAAGAAATGCCATAAGTGAAATTGTTTCCAGCATGGAAATCCATGTGATGGGGAAAGGTGCACTTGTATCATTTCTGCATGCCACTGGAAGCACAGAACCCTTGTCAATGTAAATACTGTATCATGCCATGCAAAACAGATTACCAGTATTTATGGATTTTTTAAAAAATCAATGAAGGTAACTGAGAAAAAAATATTTAAAATTCAAATGGACATTTGATTTTATAGCAAATGAAAGCAAAAGGAATAATATTTTAACATATCTATAAACTCATGACAACAGCAGACTGCATCTAGTAGAAATGTTCTGCTAATGGGGGGGGGGGACAGTGGCAGTTTTGGTCGATTACCCCTGCCCACCACAGACCCACCAATTTGTCCCTCATGCTGTTCCCAAGGTTCCGCTTCCCCCAAAGGCAGCTTTCGGGGACCTCAGTGGGCTATACTGGGGGGCGAGTTTTTGTTCCACTAATTGTTAGGCTTTCCATTAGTGGGAAATTATCACTGGATACAAGCCAGTATATTCACTAGGATGCTAGGCAAGAACCTGTTCTAGGTATATGACTATTGATCAGCAGCAGCTCAAGTTAAGGGGTTCAGGGAGAATTCCAGCTCCCAACACTGAGTGCCACTGAAGAGAAAAGATAAGTGATGCCCTAACCAGAAGGCACTGGGAGGTGGCACCATAGACCCCAAGGCTGCAGCTGCTGCCCTCTGTGGGAACACAGAGCTACTGAACAGATAGCAGAACCCATCATAAGTGATGAACACTATCTATACAGTCAGTGGGTGCGTGCACATTGCTGCAGCCCCAGCACCTGTCACTGCCTCCTGATGTCCTCCAGTAAGGGAACCGCATCCCCTTCCTCCTCCAGCAATGCTTAGTGGTGGGGGCTGGAATCGTTCCTGCAACCTGCCATGTAAACCAACTGCTGCTAGTGGTCCAGCATTCTGCAGATACAATACAAGATCAAAGTAGTAAATAATTATATCTTGACCATACTTTTATTACAAATAACAATAGATGTTTACCAGACACAAGGCAAACAAAAATAACCTGCTCCCTTCTGTGACTGTCCCTGCAGACAAAGATGTGACTTAAATTAATCTCGTGAAGATCCACTTGCAGCCTGGACCATGCATTGCAACAATGTAGAATGACTACAGAAAACAGTCTGATGAGCAGGGCTATTTTTGTAGAAAAAGCCCAGCAGGAACTCATTAGCATAATAGGCCACACCCAACAGCAAAACTCATTAGCATATTAGGCCACACCCTGACAGCACCGCTCATTAGCACATTAGGCCACACCCCCATATTACCAGAAGTGTGGTCATCCAGCTACGCCCACCTTTTGCTTCTTATTCTGTTTACTCTGTTTGTTGTCAAAACCCAGGGCCTTTTTTGTAGCAGGAACTCCTTTGCATGTTAGGCCACACACCCCTAATGTAGCCAATCCTAACGAGTTTCTGCTATTGGGTGTGGCCTATTATGTTAATGAGTTCCTGCTGGGCGTGGCCAACTCAGGAGCCAGCCGGAACTCCGTTCCTGCCCAAAAATAGCCCTGCTGATGAGTGACCAATATCACCACAGTTTCTTTCTGCTTCAATCAGCTCTACAGATGTTTCTAAAGAACCTTTTATTTTACCTTCAAAGTATCTTACATTTCCTAAAGTGGATGCTGATGATTCACGAAAGTTTGTGACACAATAAATGTGTTAGTGTTTAAGTTGTCAAAAGACTCTCATTAATTTCAATGGCACTTTAAAACGAATTTCCTTCTTTAGATTTCTTTTCAGAGTGCGACAGTCTCCACTCTCAGACTTGTTCTTATCAACATTCCTCCAGTCTCAAACAATCTGTATTGGTCAACAAGATGACTGCATCTGTGAATCAGCATTTGGTGTTACTCACTTAACAACTTTCCCAGGGGATCCAGCAAATGCCAAACACCATTTGTACTTCCAGTACATATCTTTATTATAATCCACGTTAAGTACTATGCTATGAAAAGATAGTCTGATTTGTATTGCATTTGTAGTGGTGAAGCCTTGTACACTGATTAACTGAGCTAGTGTGATTGCCTGGAGCATTCAGATGCTCATGGAACAAAGCGGTGTACAGTCCAGCTTCTGTGAGGAGTTTCCCAGGCTGAGACCTAGGAATAAGTTCCAAGACGCAGAGAACCTAGTAAACAGAGAGAGAGCCCAGACATAAGGAGACTGCAGTGCAGGCAAAAGAATGAGAAGGGGGAATCTGAAAAAAAGGTAGATGATTGTGAAGCCTGAAGTAAAGGGACATCGTGGGTAAGGAACTGAGAGGGCAAGGAATCACAGTGGGGATTTGAAGAGATCTCTACTGTACTTAAGATGCACACCACACAATTAAGAAGCCACTCAACCCTGCACATTGCAGAGGAGAAGAGGCAGACCACTGTCTTTCAGGGAATTTCTTATTCAGGAACCTCTCCAATGTCTCGGGAAAACATTAAATCCTATTCAGGCCAGAGTTTGTGAACTGTGCTATATAGCTTTCCTTTCACTTCTTACCATGAAAGCACTGACAGAATATCTGTCACATCTGACCAGTACTTATTCCTAACCAAATTACCTGCTGCAATAATGATGTATGGATCCCTCAAGAGTGTCAGTAGTGATGCTCCTTTTTGGCTCTACCAACAGACAAAGAAGACACAGAGTTAGAAAAAAGACAATATAAGCAATTTTTGGGAAATGTTTTGTTTAAGTTCTTACTTCTGGCTGTATCCTGGATGGTTGTAGAATTAACAACTGTATGGCTGAAAAAGAAGAAATCAAAATGTAGGATATTTTATTTTAAAAAATGATGCAGTTTATAATTTCAGAATTCAAAATTATTTGCTCAGTCATAAATACAGTTACTCTCCTTACCTCCATCTAAAAGAGCTAATGCTGCTAACACCAGGAAAGGTGCTGTTTTCCCAACAAATTCATACATCACACTTCCAAAAGGCGGGCCCACTATGAGTGAAAATCATTCAGAATCAGTTTGATGTCCAACTAAAATCAGGAGCACAAGAACCTTTTAAACAGTCAGTAACTCTTTATCAGTTCAGACCTTCTAAGGCTACACCTCTATCCACACTTACTGGATAATCACTGATCTCAGTGGGAATTGCATCTGAGTAAACACACATAGGTTGGAATTATGTCTGCCTGGCAAGTAACATATACCTCCTATGTCATCTAGAGAAAATGTTACAGTGTTAAGGGTATTGTTCTCCTGTATAAAAGAAAAGTGGCAACGAGCTTGAAAATGATGCAAAAACGTTGAGACAGTTGCTGTAATTAATAAAAATACCTGCTTTCATAAGAGTGTGGGTATGTTTAACTCTAGGGAACTCTAGTTTTATTTCTTAGATTTACAGAGAAAAACCTGCTTCACTTAGCTAAGGAAAAACACATGTTTGAATATTAATAACAATAACCTGAGACCAGGAAAACCAACAAATCAGAATCAACTCATTTAAATGCCATAAATGAAATAATTAAAAGCTACACCATGGCACTCCACATACCTTGTTAAGAACATAAGAGAAGCCAATGTTGGATCAGGCCAATGGCCCATCTAGTCCAACACTCTGTCACACAGTGGCCAAAAATACCAGGTGCCATCAGGAGGTCCAGCAGTGGGGCCAGGACACTAGAAGCCCTCCCCCAAGCACCATGAATACAGTGAATCACTTGCCCCAGACCAAGAGTTCCTATCTATACCTTGTGGCTAATAGCCACTGATGGACCTCTGTTCAAAATATATATAGAAGCATAATTTGTATTTATTTAAAACTTGTACTTAAAATATTTTATGCCCATGTTTCTCCTGAGCACCTTAGGACCAAATACGTATTAGAATTTTTAAACCTTGCATTAATGGCATTTAACATATATAATGTTTATCTTTGTATGAAAAAGGCATACAGAACATTTTCTAAAACTGCCCGTTTTGCCCTAGTGAATTTCACCATACTGACCTAATACTCCCATAGCCATTCCTCCTAAGGCAATTCCCATTGCATTGCCTCTTTCTTCATCATCAGTATACACACTGGCCAGCATACCCATCCCTGGATGAAAAATCATAAGAGAAGGCTGATAATATCACCTTTTCAGTGTAGAAGTGACAATAACTAGAGAGGCAGGAAATTATAGAAATGTCAACCGTTAGGCACATATGAATGTGCTTCATGTCTGCACGCTCCCAATATGCTGAGCTTTACAAGAGTCTTGAATGTGGCACTCCCAATGAATAGGAGAGGGATCCCTTGTATTTGGATAGATAATAAAATTTTGTACACCTACCACTGCACCAAGTACCTGAAAGGTTAGTTACATACAATGTAAGGGTCAATGACTAAAAACTATAATTATAACTTAAATATAATCAAAATTACATGTATGTAAAGCATCTAAGCATCTAACAGCAATTGTGCAGCATTATAAGGCCATTAGGGAAACGCATTTGCTTTTGCAAATAGGAAAAACAAAATAAATAAAGATGCTTGCAAACAGCCCGTTACTAAGGAAGAGGTTAACCTTGCTTTTTATTTCTGTAATCAGGAGGAGGAGGAGGAGGAGGAGGAGGAGATTGGATTTATACCCCGCCCTTCACTTGGAGTCTCAGAGCAGCTTACAAACTCCTTTCCCTTCCCCTCCCCACAACAGACACCCTGTGAGGTGGGTGGGGCTGAGAGAACTCTGACACAAACTGCTCTTTTGGGAACAGCTGTGCCAGAGCTTGTGACTGACCCAAGGTCACATCAGCAGGTGCAAGTGGAGGAGTGGGGATTCAAACCCGGTTCTCCCAGATTAGAGTCCGCGCTCCTAACCACTACACCAATCAGACATAACACCTGTTGATATTCAGCCTTCCCACGATACATGTGATCAGCCAAAGATGTTGTGGTTTTGAAAAAGTACAGAATGCTGTTTTCTGATAATTTCTGATAATCTTCTCTTCTAAGAGAATAACAAGGAAATAATTTTTCCCCCTCTGTACTCTGTACCTATATAAGCCTAACTCCACCTTCATTCGGTGTACAGCTTTGTTTGAAAGTGCCTCTTGGTGCTTTGGCTGTACCTTGGCTCCAAAATAAACAACTGTTGACTCTCCTTGCTGAATCTCTGGTGGTCTGTCTCAGAATTCCCACTACATATTTATTATCAGTTAGTTAAAAACAATTATGGGCCCAATTGTAGCCTCAATACAGAATAAAAGTGTACAACATACACAAGTTCCACTTGTCCCACTTGTGTACATTGTACACTTTTATTCTTTCAGGTACTTGATTCATTTGTTCATGCTCCCCCACACACACACACTTTTTTCTCTTCACCTACCATTGTATAGCAGTTCCCAACTGACCTATACAATTGATCAAATAATTTTTAAAAGCAAAAATACATTGCTGCAATAGTTTTCAAAAAAGGTTGGAGGGGGGGGGGAAATATGAAGGAATATATAACAGTTAGTTATCTAGCTAGTTATCTAACAATAATGTTGATCAAAAGTCATATTGACTCTAAGTGAATGATTCCTTCATGATTAAAAATTATAGTGAAAACAAAGTTAGGAATATGATTGTTGCTGAAAGTAACAGTTCTGATCATTAGTAATCTATATAAAAATGCACTTGTTAATACTTACCAGCAACTGAAGAACAAGAGGAACCTACTCCTTGAAGTGATCTTGCAATAAACAGTAACTTGTAGCTTTCTGAAAAGGCAAACACTGTGGGAAAGACCAAAACATTTTTTTAAAACTCAGATAAAATCTAACTCAATTCAAATATTGAAGTTGTTTTCACTAATATCAGAACTGACTTTAAACAAGGTTATTCTGTCAGAGCCATGGCACTTTCAGTGCTGACTACAGATGTGAAGGCCTGGAGTTATCAGAAACATTTGGGGGCGGGGGGGGGAGACATCATATTTATTTCATGAGGACTGTTTTTCAGTTCCTTCCAATGGAAAACTGAAAATTTTTGACAGCATTTAAAATAACCTAATGAAATGTTTGGTGTAGTGGTTAAGTGCGCGGACTCTAATCTGGGAGAACCAGGTCTGATTCCCCACTCCTCCACTTGCACCTGGCTGGATGACCTTGGGCAAGCCATAACTCTGGCACAGCTGTCCTTGAAAAAAAAAAGAGCAGTTTCTGTCAAGAGTTCTCTCAGCCCCACCCACCTCACAGGGTGTCTGTTGTGGGGAGGGGAAGGGAAAGGAATTTGTAAGCCGCTTTGAGACACTTTTGGGTAGTGAAGGGCGGGGTATAAATCCAATCTCCTCTTCTTCCTCTTCTTCTTAGGAATGAGTGAAAACTTAAGAAGGTTTAACTCAATCAACACATAGACTATGAAGATTTTTATATGACTGTCTACATCTTTCATGAATGATAATTCCTGCGTACAGTGCAGACAAAATATTTCCCAACGTATGCATTATTTTTCCAAAACAGAAAAAAATACCCCCTACGTGCCCTCAAAATTGTTTTGTCTTTCTCAAATTCCTTCTAATGTAACTATACAGAAAAGCAAGTATTCATTGAGGCTGCATCTGTGCGGACATATCAGAACACATTTACCATGAAAAATCTCTGGAAACATTCCAATCAAGATGCTATTCAAATTCCACAGTGGAAACATCTTTGTTGGAAATAGAAAGAGCCAAGCTAGTTTGAAGTCCCCCCATGGGGACTCTACATACAATGGGAATGTCACAATCCAAGAGCCATTCTGAGGAATAACTAGGGTTGCCAGCTTCCAGGTGGTAGCTGGAGATCTCCTGGAATTACAACCAATGTTCCCCTCTAAACTGTGGAGCCTTGTGAACAAGAATTCTACCTTGTGAGCTACCAGCATTAAAGCTGTGAGCGAACAATTTGGCTGCTGCATAAATCAGTTGGCTCTAGAGCCATCCTTCCTGAGCGAAGACAAAAATGTGTGACCCAGAGGCTAAAAATCTGTGAGCTAGCTCACACTAACTCAGCTTAGAGGGAACACTGATTACAACTGATCTCCAGGTGACAGGTATCAGCTTACCTAGAGAAAATGGCTGCTTTGGAAGGTAAACTCTATGGTATTATACCTTATTGATGTCCCTCCCTTCCCCAAACCCCACCCTCCTCAGGCTCCACCCCCAAAATCTCACCCCTCAAAAAAAAAAAGGTATTTCCCAACTCAGAGCTGGCAATCCTAGGAATGACAGAGAGACATTCCATTTGTATCCCCCCCACCACTTTACATATGGCAATTTAAAGATTAACAAACAGAAGGAAGGAAAAGAGGAAGCAACAGTTTTTTCCCACCTATCCTACTCATAGTGCTGCAAGTTCAACTTTTTGAACTAGACAAAAAGAGAAAACATTTCAAAGTTCCAAGCATGCCCAAAGAAGTATGGTTGGATCCCTGCAAGGATCACAGGATTTCCCCCTCCTTCCCCTCCCTCCCAAAGCCCTTTCCACCCCAGGAAAATTTATTCCTAGGGTGGAGGAACTTGCTAGCAACTGTGTGGGTCAGACATCTACAGTGAGGAGGGGAAAAGCCAAAGTTGTTCCTTTCTTTCCCTTCTGGGAGCACAGCTTTGCTCATGCACAATGCACAATGCAAAAATGGCAATCTTGTTTTGTCTGCCTCCCTACTACAGCAGCCCATTAGTACATGCAAATCCCTATACCCCAGGAATAAATTTTCCAGGAATTGGGAAAAGCTGGGAGAAAAGTAGGGCAGGGAAGTTCTGTCAGCGATTCCCACTGGTTGTTTGCAAGACCCAAGCCATAAAGAATCTACTTCTACACTACATTTATATGGGTTAGGTTCCATAGGTTAAGATACATTTCTAAATTAATTGAGTTTTTCTAGTTAATGTTCCCATTCCTAGAAGGAGGTTTGAAGTGTCCACACAGCAAAGGGATATCTAATATCGTTAAAATTGCAAATGGGAGAAAAGTATATTTCTTTTCTATTCCTCTCTTCTTCTGCAGTATTTGGCATAAAGAAAGGAGAAACACAGTACTTACTAATTGTTGAGACAAACATGATACAGAAGCCAGCAAACATGGGAAGCTGATAGCCTATTCTGGAAAACAAAACAAATACAATACTTAATCTTACTGTTCATGTTTTAATTGTAAAAATATTTGAAATACATATTATTTACTTCTTCATTCAGCAAACCTAGACCAGTTTACTCAGACCTCTCAGTAGCTTTCCCCCCCAAGCCTGTTAAAGACCTCACTGTCTAACTCTGAACACATGAAGCTGCCTTATTCTGATTCAGACAGGTTAGTATTTGTGTCTTCCATACAGCCTTATTATATGGGTTTAGGCTTCATACTGCTTCAGTTTATCCCCTGGCTTCTGCATGTTCTCTTGAGCCTTGTTAATGTGTGAAATGTTTCCTGAGCTTTTGTTGGTTCCAGCCACATCCTGCCCACTCTCCACTGACTAGACCGTGACTGTGGAACAACCCCACCCTGTGTTTTTTCTCCCTGCCTTGGCAATAAGGAATTTTTATCCCTTGTTTTGGCGATTTTTCAAATTTTTCTTTTTAAAATTCTCACCTGATAAGGATGTTGCTGCAAAAATGCGGCCTCAATTGAGCCCCAGTCCCTTGCAAACCCATTTTTATTAAATTCTATGGCTGAATTGTTGGCTCTTTCCCATAAAGCTTTGTGGTTAGCTGCCCCCAAGCAAGCACTGTCAGAGACAATGCAGTCTGTCCGAGAAAGAATGGTTTACATTTCCAGAGACCAGGGTAACAATCTAAACATCTAGATATAGGGTATGTGTCTCCATGGTTCCTCCCTGACACAGAGTAATCCTGATCCACTGATTATATACAGATTGTCACTTGAACATAGTAGGAGTTTCTTGCCCTCACAGAAATTGTTTTAACTACAGGTAAAGTTCATGCCTTACTGTATGAAACTTTGTCGAGTACATCAGATGCTCATCACAGACCTGACTGACAGTGTCATTAGTTCCTATGGATGGAAAATGATACTACTTAATATCTGGGTTTACTCTTGTTCCTTGTTGTTCTGGCCGACCACCCTCCATTATGGGTCTTGACACAGCATCCAAGGATATCCTACTGTGCACAAACATTCAAGTATTGAAATTTTGAATTAATGCTGTGTGCTGCATATTAGATTCTTAAGATGTTTGGAAGGTTTTACATTTTGGTTTTGTACTTCAATAAATAAGAGTTACTTTGGAAATAGCTCTCTCTCTCGGAAACTACAGGGTCCCTGCCAGTTTCATCCCCCTCCCTTATCGAACTAGGTGGGGCTGGGAATCTTATTTTTCCCCAACAGATATATCAATGTAAGAAGGTACAGGAGCAACTGGTACCTTTTTCTTTCTCTGTCAAGGTCATCTGCTTCCCTGCACAGGAGTGCTCATTGCTCTTTCCAGCCATTTAGCCTTCACTCTTTGTTTTTGAGCCTGGCTCTCCTGATACTCCCCCATGGAAAGAAGGATTCTTTTCCTTGCATAGGCAAGTCTTTGATCTTTGATCTATATATATACATACCTATAGATAGATTTAAAAAAAACCCTCCCTGTATTCAGCCTTCACTCTTTGCCTTGCTTCCTGATATTCTCCCATGGAAGGATTATTTTCCTATTTATCTACTTGCAATTTCTTGCTTTCGAACTGCTAGGTTGGCAGGAGCTGGAACTAGAGACGGGAGCTCACTCTGTCATGCGGCACACTCGGGTCTCAAACTGCTGAACTACCGACCTTCCACAGCCTGCAGTTCAGTTCAGCGTCTTAACCACTTGAGCCACCGCAGCTCCTAAACATTAAGTACCAGCCACTTAAAAGCAAGCGATTAGATGGGTGAGCAACTGACTCCTCTCTATTGGCATGCTGTTCATGGACAGGATTTTTTTCCCGAAAACAGTTTGTAGTCCCAAATGTCCAAATATCAGGTTGAACCTCAGTAGGGTTGCCAGGTCCCACCTGGCTGCTGACAGGGGGCTCCAGGTTGCCAGTCAGGATCATGAAGTTTTGTCGTATTGCCAATGTGACGCTCTAGTTTTTGGGTAAAACTCTATGGGTTTTTTCCCCTCAAAACCATTGAGTTTGTAGCGAAGTGCGGGGGGGGGGGGCGCTCTAGTTTTTGGGTAAAACTCAATGGGTTTTTTCCCCTCAAAACCATTGAGTTTGCCCCAAAACTCGAGTGTCACCCCCCCAATGTTGGCAACACAATGACATCACTTCCAGGTGATGTCATCATGACAGGAACATTGTGCGGCAACATCCCTGTTTGGGGTGGGGCTTCCAGCAGCAAATTGGAGCCCCAAAGACCGAGGATCCCCTGGCTGGACCCTAAACCTCAGATGGAGGGTATTTTTCCACATTTATCCACAGGGACAATATGGCAATTCTCGTACATGCCTAGCTTCTCTTCTTCCCAACAAAAAAGCGGGGTGGCACTGTGCAACGGTGCAGGACGCCATGTGTCCTGACGGGGTGGGGGGTGGAGTCGGCTATTTAAAGGGGGCTAGGCTCCGCTCCCACCATAGCAGTTCTCCGCGTTCTCGCCTAGACAGGAGCATGGTGGGAGTGCTGCTTGTTGTGCTTTTTGGCGGTGGCGGCAGCAGCCCGCTTTTTGCGGGTCCACTGGCAGCGGCAGCGGCCCACTCACGGTGGCGGCCCGCTCGTGGTGGTGGCCTGCTCGTGCCAGACCCATTCCTGCAACAGCAGTTTGGGGGGGTGGCTCCCTCGGTGGCACTGGCATCGGCGGCCAGTGGTGGCCCGCGACGGTGTCCCAGAGGAGGGAGGTAGTCCAGGGGCAGTGGCATGCCGGAGGCGTCTGAGCTGCTCAGGTGGCCCGCACCAGCAGAGGCCTGAGGGAGGGAGTCAGTGGCGGCAGCCTGTCACTTGGGGCTACATAGGGTGGCTTAATCAATAGAACACTAGCGTTAAATAAATACACAGGTATTTAGAATTTAAAAACGATAAAAGAAAAAAATGGCAGAGGACCTCTGGCTGCCTGAGGGTGATTTTTAACGGAAGCATTACCGGCTCCGAGGACCTAGCAGCCATTTTGGAGTTGCGTGCTGGCCAGCCTTTAGGTAGCCACTCTGCTCTATAGCCATAACAGGCTCAGGGTCTCATTCCCGTAACAACCAGGGTTTGTTGGGCAAGTTGCTGTTAGGCGGGTCTGTGGGTTCGACAGGGTGAAATAGATGGTAATTTGTTATAAACAGCCAAGGGGGTTCTGGCGGGAGTTGCCCCCTATTGGCCGTTTGGGATAAATAGTTGCTTTGGGTTGTTAAGAGGTGCCCTTCAATCGGCGGCCATTTCAGTGAGGTTGGGCAGAGGTGGCCATCTTGGGTGAGGCCAGGCAAAGGTGGCCATTTTAAAAATGTCTATTATGGGCAGCCATTTGGTTAAAATACCTACAGAGGTGGGCATTGTGAGAGGGACCTGAGAGGGAAGCCAAGTTCTGTGAGTGCTTTAGGCTGCTAATTTTTTAAATTTAAAATAAAGAATTAAAACTAAAAAAGAAATAAAAGAAATTCCCTCCACTTGGTTCTGTCAGTGCTGTTTTCTTAAGGACGTGTTGAAAAGAACTCTCTCAGCCCCACCTACCTTGTGGGATGTCCGTTGTGGGGAGGAGAGAGGAGGAGAGTTTGTGGGCTACTCCTAGGCTCTGGGTGAGGAGTGGAGTAGAAATCCAACCTCCTCCTTCTTCCCTTCCTTCCTCCATCCACTTTTGCTGGCGTAGTTTTTAGCCTTGGATTTAAGGGAATTAATTTCTGTAATAATTGCCCTGACCTTATTTTGGGAGAGGATATGTCTCAGTGAGTGGCCATCTCCTTGGTGGGCAGATGATCATGGGTTCATTCCCCAGCATCTTTCGTTAATTGATGGGTCTTAGTAAGTGTCCCGATGGTCCTTGTTTCAATCACCAGCATCTTTAGTTAATGATTGGCAGTAGGTGATATGAAAGACCCGGAGAGCATTTGCCAGGCAGAGTAGGCAATACTCATTTAGCAAGCCTGAAAGTGGACAGTGCTAAAGAAGGGGTTATGCCTTATAAGAATAAAAAATTGATTCCCTACTTATTGCAGCAGGGCTTATTATATTTGAGACGGGAGACAGGTATGTCTATTCAAATAACATTTTGCAGGGTTTTTATTCAGGGAAGGACAAGGTAAATTGACACTCTTCAGATTACAGTATTTGGCCCTAATGCATAAGGATGTATGTTCGGTGTAGTGGTTGGGTAGCAGCAGACTCTAATCTGGAGAACGTTTGTATTTCCCATTCTTCGGCTAGGCCAGCCAGGTGACCTTGGGTCAGTCAAAGTTTTCTAAGAGCTGTTCTCCCAAGAGTGGCTCTCTCATAGCTCTCTCAGCCCCACCTGGTTTGCGGGGTGTCTGTTATGGGGAGAGAAAGGGAAGGAGACTGTAAACCACTCTGAGTGAAGTGCAGGATGAAAATCTGGTCGCTTCCTTTTCTTCTCTAGAATAATATAGTAACCTTTACTGGTAGCTAACTTGAACTACATATAGAAACAGAATTGAAGGTGAGGGAGTGCAGCCAATAAAAAAGGCTACTGGGAACTGGGTCGCTTGATTAAGCACTTCGTGTGTGGAGGAGAAATAAAGTGTAATCTAATGAAAACAGCAAAATTCCTAAGGGTTTCCTTCTGTGACGGATTTCTTGTCAGCAACACGTGACTTTGACAGTGTGAAGGCACTCTGGGTTGGCGATTTGGCTTAGTCCTTGTTATGTGTTGGGATTCGGCAATATCCATTGCAATACGTCATTTGTACCTTCTGTTTTCTGTTTAAGCAGGGATACAGTGTGACTTCTAACCTGATGCTGTGATCTGGGGAATTTGAAACCCAGCATATCATTATATGTCTTTGTTTGGTTCTAATGAGCATTTTAACACAAGTTTAATAGCACATTTGTCTTTACATGGAAGTCCAGGGAGCTCCGATGGCCCAGAGGTGTTGCGTTCTTGCGACAGGCTGTGGAGGATGCCAGCTAGGATGCAGTGGTGCTACCACAGCATCAAGAAATGAGGCAGGTGACCTCCAGGGAGGTTCCGG